GATCCATAGCTAATCAACATTTCTCCCCCCAAATTTTTTTTTTTTTTTGCTTAAAATGGGGTTCGTTCATGTTCACATGGGTGTGAAAACGTACGATTTATATTTGGTGGTTGGTAGCTGTTGGCTTTTTTTTTTTTCCTTCATAATGGCGAGAAGTGTGTAGGTGGTAATAGACTGAGGCAGCTGAATCGAGCTGGGTCATCATCTACATGGAGAGAGAGAACACTGCTGGTACTGTGTGTGTGTGTGTGTGTGTGTGTGTGTGTGTGTGTGTGTGTGAGTGAGTCTCATGGCTCAGTTGTTTTTCACTTCATCTGGAAGCGGATCTGTTCTCCTGACACCCAGTTAGTCAGTGCCCATTTCATACAACATCTTTGTACTTTTAATGCTTATTTGCTTGTGATTCATATTAAGCGCAGAATGAATCATGACATAGTGTAATGTAGTCTGACTGAAGAGGCTTGAATATACTTTCACTTTTATTGTTTTATTTTTAGTCATCAATGCTGGGATGAGGAAGTTCTTCCTGCAGGCCAATGATCAGCAGGACCTTGTGGACTGGGTCAACGCTCTCAATAAAGCCACAAAAATCACTGTGAGGCAAACGCAGATAAACACATATGCTCTTCAAGCCTGATTCAGTTGTATTAATCTGATCTTTTTGGCATGTGTTTTATCTCCCAAGCACACTTTTATTTCCTTCTCTTTTGTAGAAATAAATGAGTGGACATTGAAGTATTTAGATAGGTGTGAGTCAGAGCATGACTGTCAGGATATTTTATAAGTGCAGGGATAAAGGACTGTTTGCATTGTTAGCAATGATGCGTTTAACCATATCAGAGAGAAAATGGATATAAAATGTGTCAAAGACTTGTCACCTTTTACATGAAACGCGTAATTACATACTCCATTTTAAATTTGTTTCTCTCTACTGATGAATCTCAGAAAGCATCTGTTTGTGTTTTATATTGTGTTAAATTAAAAAATTCTTTTCAGGCTTTTGAACGCTGATGTGATTTGTGTGTTGCTAAGGTGCCAAAGTTGTCAGATGGACTGCAGAATTCAGAGAACCAGAAGGCCTTGCCAGATGTCGTAGGACCCAAGAAACAAGTTTCCTATAAGACAGAGATCATTGGAGGAGTCCCCATTGTCACCCAGACACAAGTAAACATGACCCATGCATGTCGTGTATCACATATATACATACATGTGCATGTTATTAAGTTACAGGTTTAAAAATGTATTGCTCTCAAAGATATTTAGCCCTAGAGTGAAACACACACACATTGACAAACGGTTATTAACAATAAGCTGCTGAAAGGTTTCAGACAACTAGACAACTGTATATGTTTAAGTCATTTGTCAAACAAAATACCCCAAATTTTCTGGTTCCTCAAATGTGAGCCCCTCGACTGCAGAAAATTTGTATGAAAAAAGAAAAACCTTCAGGCCCTCTTTTGTAGAGCAAGGAATATGATAAAAAAGCCTTTACTTAATGGGGCATCTCAGTAAAAACACCAACCTAATCAGATCTTCCCAATGTTGCAAGAGTAATTACAATATTTCTGATGTCCCCTGCCCTCTAGCATGAAGGTGGCGATAGTACAGACAGAGCAGAGCGTGAGGCCATGCATCGCTCTCACAGCCAGCTGCCATACTTCCTGAACAGACCAGCACATGAGCACACCATCATCAAGTCAGGCTACTGTGTGAAACAAGGAGCTGTGGTAAGTAGCTGCTGCTTTCTTTGTTGGGCTGCCTTCCGGTACTGTTTAGAGAGGTTCTTCAATACAGTAGGAATTGGGACTTACAATTGAAGTGACATCCACAAAAAGAAATAACCCCTTAATTTGAGAGAAAGTGTAAAGAATCAAAGAAATGCAGCTTCTCCAGTGTGTGTAATTCTGTGATTTATCAATACCAGAGGATAGTGGATTTCCTCTATGTATAGACATTGTGAAATGTGTATGAACTACAAACGACTGGGTTTTCATTACTGTAACAAATTAGCAACTGGGACAGATCTTGTATTGCCAGAAAATTATACAGAAGGTCTGACTGTCTTTCTATTTTTCCCTCCTAGATGAGAAACTGGAAACGACGATATTTTCTGCTGGAAGAAAACTCAATGAGTTACTTCAAATCTGATTTGGTAATTAAGTTATGTGAAGCCTTTAGAGAATGTTTTTATTGATGGTACGTGTGGATTCCATAGTCTGAGGCCAAGTTACTGCAAACACAGTCCTGAGTTCTAACATGTTTTATCTGGAGTCTTTGGAATTCACTGCCTTCATGTCTTATCATGTTTTTCCCCTCTGGCCTTTCTTAGATGCACACATATAGTTGTACTTCTATCTTTGTGAGGACACTCGTTGACATAATGCATGACTGCTTTTACTGGCTATTAATGGGCCCCAAGAACATAGTGTCTGGTTTACCAAATGGCCAAGTCCAAAAAGTTACAACCATCAGGGTTTTTATTTTGCAGGTTGCTACTTCTAGCAAAGTTCACTGTCTTCTGTCCCTATGAAAGATGAAAAACTTAGCAAGACAACCTTGTTTATATCTGAAAAATTATTTGTAACATACATGCAAATGGTCATATTTTTCATGCACATTTATGTGTTGTGTTTTATCTTCTTTAAATATTATGAAGAGTTATTTGCTTGCCTTTAGGAGAAAGATCCTCTGAGAATGATCCCACTGAGGGAAGTTCACAAAGTCCAAGAGTGCAAACAGAGGTATCCAACATGTCCCAGCATTTTCTCATTGTACAAAAATGTCTTTTATCCAGGAGGATGATGTTTACCTTTTCTGATTTAGATAGAGACCTACAATAGATGAGATAAATAGGATTTAACTTGTTTTCCATTTTTGGTGTAGTGACATTATGATGAGAGATAATCTTTTTGAAGTCGTCACCACATCAAGGACATTTTACATACAGGTAGGTCTGTTGCTGTACGGTCAGTTCTCATACACACACCTTTGAGATTTCACTGTACCGTAATGTTCATAAATCCTGCACATCACTTCTTTGCATGTTTGCATCTTTACCAGCTGCATGTTTCCCTTCTCATCATTTGCTTCATTCTGATTTGCAGCGTGTAATTCTCTGTGTTGTGCTGTCACGGTTTTTTCCCTTTCTCTCCACTAGGCGGACAGTCCAGAGGAGATGCACAGCTGGATTAAGGCTGTCTCAGGGGCCATTGTGGCCCAGCGGGGGCCTGGGAGGTCTGCTGCCTCAGTATGTATAATGCACTACAGTACAACACAGTGCCACCGTGGTATGGATTCAGATCAATATTATCAGACTTTGGTGTGCCTGGAGGCACACATTTAGGGAAATGACTGCAGACTTGACTTGGTCTCACATATTCTGGACTTAACTTACCTAGACTTACTTACTTGACTCTCACAAGGGCTCACACATCTGCAGTGATGTAATAAAAATTCAATTTTTAGCTTCATTTCAAAAACACTAGTTGGGCTACAGAGCATTTCAGATTAACTTTCCCTTATTGTTGTAGTTTAACAATATTTGTCTGAAAACAAGTTTGATTAAGCTAAGTGCTGATCTGTGTAGTCTACATAAGAAGTTCCCAACAAACCAGTAGAGGGCTTTGAGACATTTGGTACTAGGCCTAACATGACTTGGCATAAAGCTGAATAATGTGTAACTTATTAGGTTATTATAGGGCTACTATTGCAGTATTTTCTGAACTTGGCACAGTCTGTTCTGTGTTTTACCGCCATCCAACAAAAAATACAGATATATTTAAAGTTTCATTTTTGGCCATGTTATTCTTTTTATTTTTATTTTTTTTAAATCAGGCAGTCAACAGTTGATTGTTGACAGGAAATGAAGGGAGAGAGAAATGAGGACTGATGTGCAACAAAGGTCCTCAGCTGGACACGTTCTGGGGATGTTGCAATTCATAGTGGATCAGTGTGGATCACCCCTGTATGTCCTAAATCCGATGAGTGAATGACGTCGATATCAGACCCGATACCAATATAGGATCGGATCAGGCCTATATCTGGTATTCACCTGTACATGAAAACTGCGTTTTAGAACTGTTTCGGTTAGTTCCATCAGATGCCTACAGTACATAGTGCATAGTGACAGGCAGACAGTCTGGGCAGGTGAGATGAGAGAACCAGTTCCATAGTCCTGACTGCAGAGGAGCAAGTGTCCTTTGCTGCAGCTGGTCCCACCTGGTTGAACTGGTCTCAGTCTGAACACCTGTGTGCTGTCTGTTTCTCTACAGTTTCCTCTTTCTCTCTCTTGCTAGTTTTCCTCTCACCTCCAGTTTTCCTCTCTGTGCCTCTTCTTCCTATCCTTTTTTCCTTTCTTTCTTTGTCACATTCTCTCCTTTCCCTGTGGGCAGATGCCCCATCTGCTCTAATCCTGCTTTGCACTGTGTTGTTGCAGATGCGGCAGGCCAGACGGCTGTTGAACCCCTGTATACAGAGGTATACGTCCCGAATCGGGGAGTGCAGCAGCACGTATGTCAGCTCGTCTAAATCCCCCCATTTAAACTATAAGTTCACCTTTTTATAATACTGTTTTCCACTCACTGGCTGGCCCTATGTGGTTGTAGACATTATGTGAGCAGATCAGATCTGACGGTTCATCTGATGCTCCTTTTTCTCTAAGAACCGACCACACCCTACATTTGGCTGATAACCCAGCAAGTGCTCCTCCCTTCACGCCCTCGTCCTCACTGCTTCCTCTGATCCACTTATTCTCCTCCTCTGCTTTTCTTTCCTTTTCCCGTCACTTTAAGCTTAGCTTAGAGTTTAGGTCCATTGCATTCAGAAAGTGCAGCAAAAGTTAAAAATTCTTGTCAGGAATTTTAAGACTTGAGATGTGTTATAGTTTCTCTTGCATGTGATCACCACAAGCATGGCAACTGAAATCATGCATACCTCAAGTCATGTAAATGCTAGAATTTTTCAGTAATATTTTTGCTCAGGTACAAAATGACTATAAACAGCTGAAATATAACCATATGACCATCTAAACTTGAGAAAGACCTGCAGTCAGTCATGATCCCCTCCTTTCCTAGTCATGCAGTTTTCTCCTGTCTTCATTATGGATGATGATGCTTCAGTGGTAAAAAGAGAAATACTGAGTACATGCACAAACAGACACACACACTGCATGAACTACCTGATCAGCTTAGCTATGAACACCTTAAGCTTGTTTCTCTCTGTCTTTATACTTTTGGGTATGTCTTTCACACATTCTGTTTCTCTTCCCTTCATGCCCTGTGATCTCTGCAGCCTGCTGCAGATGTGTACCTGTCTTAGATGTGTGACATCCTGCTTGTCTCTCCTCCTTCCTCCTGTTCGCTGCCTGTATGTTTTTTCTCTCTCTTTCTCATATACATGATAATAAGATAGTTGTTCTCATGTTGACTTCCTATATCTTTTGTGTGCTAAATGTTTCAGCAGCTTTGAAATGAAAACTCACCAGTGTTGAACCCACACATCCAGGGTCACATACTATGGTCTATGTGATCATATCAAGTAATCAGTAGTTCAGTGAACAGCAGCCAATTTTTCAAGTATTCTGTGTTGTAGATTATCTGATATCTAATAGCATGAGCCTGATTTTGGACCTTTGGCTCGCCATTGTAGTGTTAATTTTGTCAGCTATCTTTAGTTGTAGTCTTAGCCCTGAATGTGAACCCCGTGTTAATTTTAGTCAGAATTAGTTAACCTCATTCTTTTTATTTTTAGTAGACTAAAACTCTGGACATGTTATTCTCATATAAGTTAAAACTATTAACAATTAATTTTTTTTTCAAATCAAGAACTAACATTTCTATCAAAGTTTAGAAAACTGCTGTCAGATAAGATTTCATCATCCAGGTGACTTTAGGCTGAAGAATTGAATTAAATTGACAGGGCATGTGATTAGAAATGCCACTTTTTCAGGATGCAGTGGCTGAATGTTGTCATTTCAGGCAGTAGATTCAATCATGAAACAGGATAAATCAGTGAAATCTGTAAAGATACAACAACATTAACAAATCCAGTGCAGTCTAACTCTTGTAATATGAGTCAGTAATTGCTATGATGCTAAGTTGTTGTTTCATGACATCGGTTTTGTCTCATCTGTCTCATTTTTGTCATGAGAAAAAGGATGTTGACAAAGATATACGGTTATAATTTTTGTTAAAACAATTAACTCTGCTTCCTACAATTTGTAAACCTTTTGAACTAGAAAACAGATTCTTAAATCTTGTTTAAATCATGATTTGTGGATTTACTGAAGAAGCCTGCACAGTCACAGGGTGTCACTGTGCCGCTGTGGAACCGTGTGGGATATCAAAATACAGAACCTTAAAGTTGACCCACATATTTATATGGGAGACTTTCTGTGCTTTATTGCTGAGATGTTGCTCTAACCAACATGCCCAGTGGCTGCCCCTTTTTGTTTTCACTACCTCTGCTGTGTTTTCTTTCCTCTCATGCTTCTGTTTTGTGTTTCAGAGACTGAAATCTGACAATGAAAAGCTGTGAAATAATGAGCAACAGCCACCCACTGCTTCCTAAGACACTTGCTCTTCCACTGCAGCCTGTTGAAACTACCAAAACTCAAATCTGCTGACACTACTACCGCCACTCCTGCTACCTCTACTACTGCTATTATTGTTTCTACTGCTACTACCACCATCTCCACTCTCTAGCAATTCTACAACACCTATAACCTTCAAGCTGCATCAGGCCCCACATGATGGTGCTCATTCTAAGTCTGTAACACACTTTGGCTTTTCTCAATACATATCAGGATTTCTCTTGTTACTAACAGCCCCTAACACAGCAGCCATCCCACTTTCTACCGCAGCCCCACGGGTCACCCCGTCGCTCGCTCGCCCATCTCTGCCATGCCACCATGCTACGCAGAGTGCGGGGCTGCTGTCACGTGCAGCACATGCTCGCAGCCTGGCGTGGGACAGCGAACACTTCATGAGCCTGCTGCCACGGCCCAGTCACAGCCACATGCCAACACGCCTGTCCCTGCAGGAAGCACGCCTGGCGAAGTGACCTGCAGTGCACCTGCAGTCACCATCACCAGCTCTGAGGAGTCACCATGGCGACGGCGGAGCAAGTTTGAGCCCCACATGCCTGAACCACCCCTGAACCTGGACAACGCTGAGCTGCCAGTGAGCGAAGTCTGAGTCCAACGAACTGGATGTTAAACCCGGTCATCTGGACGGATCCTGACAGAGATTTCATAGGTAAAGAGGTAACGGTGTACGGCAGGCGTTTAAAAAAGAAAGTTGAGGCAATCATTTTCAAACCACAGCTGTTTGAGGATGACAGCGTACAGCATCACAAACTTATCTTTTGAGTTCCTCCATCAGTGCTATCAGTGTGTCACAGGAACCAGTTGGATCACCACTGAACTCCCCTCGTGTGCCATAAACGACCCCGTCTTCACCCACACCCCTCTGCCTTCCGGTTGACACATTTACTACTGTGTATTTATTTACTAAGAGTTGACGTTGTCAAACAGAACCACAAATTTTAGTTTACTTGTGCTAATTAGAATTTAGAGGCAGCATTATTTTAACCCGTACAGGCACACTGATGTGGTCAGTGGTATTTATGGGCAGAGGGATTTTGTAAACCACTTTCTGTCAAGAAAACGAGGGCACTGTTAAGGGTGCCATTTCTTTCCTCATATCTAATAAGTGTTCAAAATGAGGACTAGATTTCATCACTTCTCTAACTGTGTGGTCCACTCATACACACTATTTGCAACACTGGACTTGTCTACTAATGTTGTTCAGTGTTAGGGACACTAGGAGTAGACACAAAAAAGTGAAAATATGTGTACATGACCCAGTGTGGATAGTAGTGCATGACCAATGTTTCAGCCACATTTAATCTGATTTTATTTTTTAACTGCCAAGCTTCTGACTTAGTTATTTTATTTTAAAATATATATATATATAAAGTTAAGGTCAATTGTAAAATTGTATCATGGTGTCCTCAATGAACTTATTGACCACAGGCTACAAGTAGCCTGTTAACAAACCACATTTCAGTGTACCAGACTTTATGAGCTTAGGTTTGTGACAATGGATGGTGTGGGAAAGGGGCAACAGCATTATAAGCAAACAAGAAGTACCAGCCACATGCTGGTATGCATTCTGTAATTCTCAGTAATAAAAGCAATGAGAGAAGGGGCTGTATCCATTAGAGATAAGCTTTGTGTCCTGGCAGACTGGGTAGTGACAGATTTATTGGCTTCTCTGAAGAATATTATACTGTATGGACACCATACAGACATTTATGGACATTGATTTAGCAGAAAAAGAAACACTTCGGTTGCATATTAACATAATAATTCCTCAGACTTTCTCCTTGTTTTTTTGTTGTGCTCTGTGTGTTGTGTTTGCAGAATAGAGATGTGTACAGCAGATTTATTTTTTTATACGCTTTTAGATGTTTCCTCATCTTATTCCTTGTACATGTGATGCCAACCCAGTAGCAGGCATCTGCTTCCTGGTTTTATTTAAAACTGTCACCGTAGTTTTCCCAAATAATACACAGTCATTGTTTGCAACCCTACTTCATTTCAGCTCAACAAAACAAAGTCTTGTAATTGGTTTGAATTGTCCTTATTTATTATGTGGATGACTTGAAAAAATAAACACTGACAATGTGCTCATGTTTCCTGGAGTGTAGTGTCAGCATTTTGCTTATCTGTCACCAGGAGCACAGCTAAAATAAGAGCTGTAGTTAGTCTGCATCCATGTCCATTCCTCAGTGTTCCATCTGCCCTCTTGTGGTGAGAGGAAAATCCCCACTCTGGTTGCTTCTGTTAACATACCACCACATCAGCCATTTACTCAACAATGGGATGACTCGGATATATAATGGAAATGTCATCATTTCAAAACAATACACAAGGAAGTCAGAGTAAAAGATCAACAGAGTATATGTGAAACAACACCAAATGAATGCCAGAGAAAAACACTTTATTGTAAGCATCCTGCAAAGACCTAGTGTTGCCTGGCAACACCAAGCTACACAAAAGCCTTAAAATAAAATAGGCCATATTTCTACTGCACTTAGCCCCTGCAGGTTTTTCATATTATTGACTTAGCACACAGTATACAGTATATTATGACTTGATTAAAAACTGAATGGATGTTAATTGCACTATACAACAAAAAGCTTCACACATAAAACAAAAACAATGCTTAGCTTTTAATTGCAGTGTGCTTTTTGTATGATCATATCACAGTAGGATTCCACTTAAATTTGACTAACAATAATGCAGAATTAGAGCAAAGCCCTAAAAGCTGACTTTGATTTTTGCCTTTACAAAATTATTTATGATCAGTGGAACCAGCCACTCCAATCAAAGTAACAAAGATTTGCAATTATTAATATGAAAAGTCTTTGTCAGTATGTACACAGTAATGGAAGATGTATTCAGATCTTTAAGTAAAAGCAGCAATGCCACATGGAATAAAACTCCCGCAAAATACAGTGGGTACGGAAAGTATTCAGACCTTCTTAAATTTTTCACTCTGTTATATTGCAGCCATATGCTAAAAGCATTTAAGTTCATTTTTTTTCTTCATTAATGTACACACAGCACCCCATATTGATAGAAAAACACAGGATTTTTGACATTTTTGCAGATTTATTAAAAAAGAAAAACAAATATCACATGGTCATAAGTATTCAGACCCTTTGCTGTGACACTCATATATTTAACTTAGGTGCTGTCCATTTCTTCTGATCATCCCTGAGATGGTTCTACACCTTCATTTGAGTCCAGCTGTGTTTGATTATACTGATTGGACGT